AAAAAAAAAAAAAAAAAAAAAAAAAAAAAAAAAAAAACACCACTCTTTCTTGCTCTGCCCATTCACAGGCGCAGGGCCATATGACCGGCCAGTCATGTTCATGGTGACAGCACTCAGGTCTTCAACCATGTGTGGCAAAAAGAGTGATGACAATCCATAACGGTTGGCCGAGCGCGGCGAGGGGGGATCCGACGGGCACCGTTGTTTCAACACAGAACACTGAGAACAGCAATACATGAAATGTTTCGGCCAATCACGGACGAGCAGCTAGCGCCGTCTTATACAAGCGTCGTAACTGCTCGTCAGGTCTTCAACCACGTGTGGAAAAGAGTGATGCAGACAGTGCATTGGCCGAGGATGGATGGAGAGGGGGGATCCCTCTGGTGTTATTATTTCGAGTTTCAATGCAGAACAGAAACACATCAAATGTCCCTTTGATGTTAGAATACTTTGTAGAACTGGTGGAAGAGATTAAGAGAAGACGGATTTTTGGTCGCGACATAGTCGTGGCATGAGCTTTGCCTGGCCGGAGAGCCTCGCTCAGCTCAGGACTGGGGTGAATTTTTGCAAGGGAGGCTCGGCCCGTCTCTATGTTAATAAAGATTGATTTTCTTTATTAAAAAAAAGAAAAGAAACACATCAAATGTTTTACCCGATCACGGACAAGTAGCACGACCTTGGTGTGCACACGAATCACTGTAGGAGCCTCTGAATATTGCGACCTGGAAGAGGGGGGGCATGGGGCAAAATCTAGACACTCCTAGGGCATAGCCACACCACTCTCGAAATGTGCAAAATGGGAATGAACTTTCCGCTAGAACATGGCGAGATGCACCCGCCACATTTTTGTCTTTTTCACATTTCCAGAGTGGTGTGGCCAAGCCCCTACAGCGATTCGTGTGCACACAAACACTGACATATCGCCCAGGCGTGAGGCATGCAGCAGTGAAAAAGCAGAGGAGTGAGAGACGGTGGCAGCAGCTCCAGTGGAGGGAAAGGGGAGCAGACGTAATGGGGGTGGACACGGAAGTGAACCCTGCGGGCAATCTGTGGTATATAGATTTAGCATAGCCCTGAACAGAAAAAGGTTCCATGCTATAATATAGGCAGCGGACACGAACCCTGTGGGCACCAGTAGCTCGCCCATATATAGGCAGGGGAGGTGACCTGAAAGGATGTCGCGGCTGTGGCAGGGGAGAGGTGTTACACCCCCCACCCTTGCAACCCCCCATTTCTCCTCAAGTGGCCGGTTTTGGTTATGCTCATCCTTGTGTTCTGCGGTGATGAATGTGGGTGAGGGGAGGTGATATGAGAGGACGTAGTTGTCTCTCCTCTTGCACCCGTCCCCTCGCCTCGACTGCCCGGTTTTGGTTATGCTCAACTTTGTCTTCGGCAGTCTCATGAATCTGGCATTCAGGAGGTCGTAGGTTCAATCCCCATTGGCCTCATGTACCTTCCTGAGCATGCTTGGCGGGCCCCACCTAGAGATAGACCGTTGGATCCCCGTATAGTCATTGAGCATAGTCTGCTGATGTTCGTAGGGAAGGGGACTTGAGGGGAGGCACAGGGATTGGTTTTGTTGGCATCAGGGCCTGAGGGGAGGCACAGGGAGTGGTTCTGTTGCCATGTTCCCTGATGCTACTGGCTGTCCCCTGGCTGGTATCGCCCACTGCCCGTGTCTGCTTACGGTATATACTGGCGAAGTCTGTGCTCTGCAAATTTCTTCAAATGGTGTGCAAGGAATCTTTGCTTGCATTTCACTCATCAGGAAGATGCATGTGGCTCACCCCGTAGCTCTGACAG